ATAGTATAAATGAATACATGGTTGATAATAACCCCTGGGAATGAGGTGATCGCTTCCAAGCAGTTTCTAAAATAAATTTTGTAAATAGTTCGTAATCATTTATATTGTAAAATTTATTTAAAAAAAAAGTCCCGCTGGGTTTCTTGCTGGTTCTTCCCAGGATAGAGGGTTTTTTTCGAACCAGTGGTAAAGTAAAAAATGACTTTCAATAAGAATTACACATGTAATGTATATTGAATAAAAAAATATTCTATTCTATTCTATTCTATTCGACTTTTTTAGGGATCGGGTGGACGAAAGCTGTCTTCCATGATTTCGGGACTACGCCTAGGGAGTAGGAGTACCGGAAAAGACGCGTTAGAACCGATGCCAACTCCGGAGCACACGTCCTCAGCACAATTGGGGGGATTCCGCCAGGCCCACTCGATTTGTGGATGTCCAGGGAGAGGAGTGCTTTGCGAACCGAGCGCTGTAAGAACCGCACAACCGGCATGGAGCACTCACACCACGGAATGGTCGGCGGTGTGTTCCCCCCGTCATCAAGAGTCGAGTTTGACGCAAAAAGGGAGCCTAAAAGGTCGGCTTTCTCTTTTGCGGCGTGGGCCAGTGAGTCGTCCTCTGTGCAGATATGGTAGTGATAGCTTACAGAAATTCCCTTGGACAGCCTTGGCGAGAGTCCAGAATGCAGGAATTCCCGAAGGAAGGCGAACTAGTTTCTGGCCAATTCTGCCTATGTACTCTGACTTTGCCTTGGCAATAACTCTTTTGAAAGGACCTGGAGGCGAGGATATACTTCTTTTTAAGCATGTTGGTGTTTACATCCCGAGTCGCCGAAGCCGCAGCCCAGGCTTGATAACACTCCTGCTTACTGCGTAATGCAGTCTTACAGGAGCGACCAAACCAAGGCTGAGATCTGCCTCCGATGGGTACCACAGATGATGGAATAAATAGTTCCATTCCCTGTAGCACCACCAGTGACGCCATCAGTGACAGAGCACCATCAGTGACAGAGTCAGCAACAGCGCTGAGATGATCCGGCGAGAAGAAAACCCGCCCCCATGGGTAGGATGCAAAGAAAGACCGTATTCCGTCCCAATCCGCCGACCTATAATGCCAAACACGGCGGCAACCTGCAGAACGCAACCGCGAGGGGAGCGTGAGTGGCACCACACTCCGGATCAGACAATGGTCCGAAGAGTCGAGAGGGGCATTGACGGAAACCTGATATCCGTCCGGATGAGTGGTCAGGAGAAGGTCCAACAGGAGAGGTATATAATCCTCCACATCTGGAATCCACGTAGGCAAAGTAACCAGTTGTGTCAGACCAAATGCCAAGGCAAAGTCATAAACAGATCTCCCCACATGATCGGTTAAAGGTGAACCGATCCATTCGGCGTGGTGGGCGTTAAAATCGCCAAGGATTACCGCTATGCGACCTATAGAGGCACCCGTAGACGCGCGGATGGTCGTCGCTGTCTACGTGTAGTCAAAGGATGAACAGGTCCGAACCTTCAAGACTGCCGCGGCGTCGAGAACAGATTTCCTCTCTGACGTATACGCAAACTCCAGCCCGAGGCACAAAGGAGTGCTCCAATTTGTACCCCGGGTAGGAGAGATACGAAGTATCAGCCGGAGAGGACATCTGCCTCTCGGTGAGAAAGAGCAAGGCCGGCTTCGCCGTCTCGAGATGGTAGTGGACGGCGTTTAGGTTCGAGTGAATTCCCTCGATGTTGCAGAATCATCATCACGGATAGCGTAGCAGGGGTCGCCTTGGTATTGTTGCTCAGTTTGCCCCGAATACACGGGGCAGCCGGAGCACCCACGCTCAGGAGTGGAAGTAACATGGTCGTGGATGCTCAGCGAGGGATTTTCCAGGGGTACTGGTACCCTCCTGGGGTAGTCTTTGATACATCAATTACAATTAACGGAATTACAATTCCGCTACTATGTTGATTGATTGGGGGACGGGGGGGGGGGGGGGGGATTGGGCTTCCGGTTGTTCTTTTATTTAAATAATTTTGATATTAATTTCTAACATCGGAAGTGGCATAATTTCTAACTATACAATATTAAAAATCGGCAATATACGCCCATTAGAGTAACGAAGAGACGGACCCCAGTCCTCGGCAGCCCCGCTATTCCTGGCTACGGTGACGACCATGGTAACTGCGGGGCAGGGGGTGCTAAGAATCTTCGGTGGAGGTTCGGTTGCCACCTACGACGACTCGACCTGGCAACTTATAACGCACGCACCCTGAGGACTGACGAGAAGATTCTGGAGCTGGAAGAAGAGATAGACAAGTTGCGCTGGAATATCGTAGGATTATCCGAGGTCCGAAGAGAGGGGGAGGACACGGTAATCCTCGAATCCGGCAACTTGTTCTATCACCGGGAGGGCGACCATCTGTCCCAAGGAGATGTCGGATTTATCGTCCACAAGTCTCTCGTTAACAATGTTGTAAAGATTGGGAGTGTGTCGACGAGGGTTGCGTACCTTATACTCAGAATCACCAAACGGTATTCGCTGAAGGTCATACAGGTTTACGCACCAACCTTGGCACACCCCGATGAGGAGGTGGAGGAAATGTATGAGGATATCTCTAAAGCTATGCATTCCCCCAAAACCCACTATAATGTAGGATTAATGGGAGACTTCAACGCAAAACTAGGCACAAGAGAGAACGGTAAGCTGAAAGTAGGGAAATTCGGAATAGGGCAACGGAACCCAAGGTGCCAGCAGCTGGCCGACTTCATGGAGAAAAAGGGACTCTTTATGATGAACTCTTTCTTCCAGAAACGGCCCCACAGGAAGTGGACCTGGTCGAGCCCCGACGGTTCGACAAAAAATGAGATTGACTTCATTATGACGACCAGACGACAACTATTCAGTGATGTCTCAGTGATCGCGAGGGTAAAAACCGGCAGCGATCACCGAATGGTGAAAGGCACACTGAACCTAAACGTTAAGTTGGAGAGGTCACGTCTAATGAAGTCAACGCTCCGTCCCCCTCATGCTCTAATCCAAAGTCCTGAAACCTTTCAGCTCGAGCTACGAAACCGTTTTCGGTGCCCAGAAGATTGCAAAGCAGTGGACGATATGAATAACAAGCTCGTGGAAACTGTCCATGCGGTCGGAGCTAAGTTTTGCAAGACCCGCCGCAGAAGAACACAAAAACTCTCCGATCACACTCTTAATCTCATGGCTGTTAGACGGGATATGAAGCTGCAGTCTTCAGTAGAATTGACAGCATACAGGCAACTGAACAAACAGAGCTCCAAATGCATGCGGCGGGATTTACGCAACTTTAATACTCCTCGTATTGAAGAAGCGATCGAGCGGAACCAGGGCTCCAAAGTCTTTGCTAGAGATCTGTGTGCCAGAAAGAGCCAACTGTCAAAGCTGAAGACCGAGTGTGGTAGCGTCATTTCCGGGACACCTGTGATTTTGAGTGAGATTGAGAGGTTCTATGGGCAGCTGTACACATCATCGTTGGAGCCACTCGCAAGTCTGAGTAACGATCCAAGAGCGAGTCTTATCCGACATTATTCCAATGATATCCTGGACGTCAGTCTGAGTGAGATTAAAATGGCCCTCCAGCACCTTAAAAACGGCAAGGCCCCAGACGAGGATGGAATTACAGCGGAGCTTCTGAAAGCGGGTGGAAAACCGGTACTTGACGTTCTTCAGAAGCTCTTTAATTCCGTCCTCCATGGTGGCATTACACCGGAGGCGTGGAGCGTCATTACGATTCGTCTCGCGCGTAGACTTGAAGACTTCCAGCCTCCCGAACAAGCCAGTTTCCGAAAAGGCTTTAGCACCATAGACCACATACATACCCTTCGGCAAATTGTACAGAAGTCCGAGGAGTACAATTTGCCACTATGTGGACTATGAGAAAGCCTTTGATTCCGTCGAAATTTGGGCGGTGCTGCAGTCCCTTCAGCGATGCCAAGTTGACTGTCGGTATATCGAAGTGTTGAAGTGCTTGTACAGTAGGGCTACGATGGCTATCCGAGGACAGAACCAGAGTACGAAACCTATAGTGTGACGTCATATCCCCGGAACTCTTCACCGCTGCATTGGAAGACGTTTTCAAGCTTCTGGACTGGAAAGGATACGGTATCAACATCAATAGCGAGTACATCACTCACCTTCGATTTGCCGACGAAATAGTCCTTATGGGCAGAATCGCTGGAGGACCTAAGCACTATGCTCAATGACCTCAATAGTGTTTCCCAACGGATAGGTCTTAAGATGAACATGGACAAAACAAAGATCATGTTCAATGTCCATGTCACACCTATGTCGGTAGTTGTTGGGAGCACTAAGTTCGAAGTTGTTGACGAGTATGTTAACCTGGGATAAATAGTCCGACTAGGTAAATCCAACTTCGACCGAGAGGTCAATCGACGGATTCAACTCGGTTGGGCAGCGTTCGGGAAATTACGGCATATCTTCTCGTCAGGTATACCTCAAAACTTGAAAACAAGACTGTAAAACCAGTGCGTGTTGCCAGTGATGACCTATGGTACTGAGACGTGGTCCTTCACTGCTGGCCTGATGAGGAAGCTCAAGGTCGCTCAGCGAGCTATGGAAGGGCTATGCTCGGAATTTCTCTGCGTGATAAACTTAGAAATGAGGATATCCGCAGTAGAACCAGAGTAATCGACATAGCCCAACGGATTAGTAAGCTGAAGTGGCAGTGGGCCGGCCATATAGCTCGAAGAACCGACAACCGTTGGGGAAGAAAGGTTTTCGAGTGGCGGCCTTGTACCGGCGGACGAAGTGTAGGGCGTCCCCCCACTAGATTGAGTGACGACCTGGTAAGATATACAGGAAGTCGATGAATGCAGGCGGCTCAGGACCGTGCTTTGTGGCATTCCTTGGGGGAGGTCTATGTTCAGCAGTGGACTTGTGAAGGGCTGTAATGATGATAATGATGATGATGAATATTAAAGAACCGTAATAAAAACGGCTCTACCACCGTTTTCTATAGTACCTTGGCGCCGAGCTTCTTCAATAGACTAGTGAACGCCTTCTCTTCTCTGCCAATCCAGGGCCGGCCTTCGTCTTGTACTTGGTACGGGCTTACATGCACGTAGATGTTCACATCTGTGAACAACACAATATTATCATGATCACTAGGCCGGGAAAACATGGCCTCCGGTGAATTTTGAGATAAATTTAAATGATGCCAGTAAAATCTCAAGAAATCTGCTGAGAGCAAGATATAGTTGTAGTTATTTTTAAGTAAAATACTCATTATGGCGTAAATGACAGTCGGGAAGGGACACCCTAGACGAAAGTTTATCGACCAAATTGATTGAGAGGTGGGTCAGGATCGTAAAAATAGAAGTCTGTAATCTTTACCCACCCCTCCGGGCGACCGGCGTGTTTATATTATGTACTCATTACGCACATTGAAAGCTCTGAAAATCGGGAGAATCTACTCTCTCTCTCTCTCTCTCTCTCACACACACACACACACGCGCGCGCGCACACACACTTACGTTGATTTTATACTTTTCGAGATACTTTGAAAAAGCGCGTAAGGGTTAAAGGGACGTAATTTTTGGCTCTCTTGCTGTAAAATAGCAGCTCAATAACTGCTGTTTTGTATGTTGAATGTAGAGAACTGGAGACCCCTTTTTTTTACTGGAAACGAGGCAATCTTAATCCTCAGGGGTGGACAACGCATCTGCATTTTGATTATAAGCCGAGGATAGATGTAGATGTCTATGGGTCACAGTATTCACTTACCATCAGGTGGACAGTGTGTTCGTTTGTTACCCTATCCCATAAAATCGCTTACGCGCTTTTTCAAAGTATCTTGAAAAGTATAAAATCAACGTATGTGTGTGTGTATGTGAGAGAGTAGATTCTCCCTATTTTCAGAGCTTTCAATGATGCAGTGTGCGTAATGAGTACATAATATTGTTGCGCGCCACTATTAATGTCTTGTACATGGCAACACTAGTTACCCTAGCGCCCTCTAGTGTCGAGTAGAAGAAAGTGTTGCGCGCCACTATTAATGCCTTGTACATGGAACACTAGTTACATTAGCGCCCTCTAGTGTCGAGTAGCAGAACTAGGAGAGTCGAGATACTTTCAGAAATTTCGGGACCGATATGTACTCGACATTCTAGATGTCGCTACAGTAGAAGGTTCTGGAAACTATCTGAAGCCCTATATAAGGCCGGTATAGACCACGACCGGGGCAGTATTGAATTGGCGATACCAGAGAATACTTTGAAGCGAAATAACTAAAGTGATTGTGTTTTATTATTAGTGTGGTTTTAGATTGTAATTAGTGTCAATTTTGGTAATTCAATCGGCAGTTTTAATTGTCTTGAACCTCAAGCTCGTAACAATCTAAACACGCTAAATATTTACAAACGGACCCCAGAATCGAAGAGATGTTGTTCCACACCCCCAATGTTTTTGAGTGATACCCGACATCATGCAATAGACGGGTAAAAACAGGAAGTACCCAAAATAAAAATATGTTTTTTTAAGATTTTATTTCAGTTTTCTAGGCGTGATTAATATTTATAACTGTGCCAAATTATAGATTTGTAGCACTTAAGGTCTCTGAGCAAAACCGCTGACGGACGGATGAACGGACGGACATGGCGAAACTATAATGATTCCTTGTTGTGTAACTACGGAACCCTAACAAGGACTTCTGACACTTTTGACACTGCTCCGAGTACTTTGCGTCTGGCGCTAACGAGATGAATATCGCCATTTGTCGAAAGCCACAAGATCCTTGTGACATGTCTTATAGCTTCCTCTTATAACCCAAGGAATGTAATGGGGGTAGTAGCACTCTTGCATCCCCATAAAACCCATAACAAAAGTATTGTGTGCGGCAATTACCAAGCCTGGTGAGTGTTTCCAGCAGACTCCTGGACGTGATCCACGTGTTCTTCCCGCCCGCGTGGCCGCCATCCAACCAATACATATCCTCTATTCGCTCTATGAACCTGTGCAAACATTAAATCATATTATACTCCCCGGTCGATCACCAACCAGATGACAATGCTGAGTAATCGAAAGCTATCAACTGTGCTTTGTTACACTACGCTAATGATTTACCACGTGCTCGTCGGTGAAGGAAAACATCGTGAGGAAACCTGCAGGTCTAAGAAATGACAAAAAGTTTTCGAAGACATGTTCGCCAACAATAATTGGGGCAGCGTGGTGGACATGTCCTTGCCCTAAAACCCGGGTAATGTTCACTACTACATTCACTAATTCCTGCACCCGGCTCACAAAAACAAAGATAGTTTTAGTAAAAAAAGTGATATACATTCTGTAAACACTAGGAACAAACACAAGCTAGTGATACCAGTTTCTCGACTCCACAGAGTTAGTAATTCATTCTTGGGGCAATGTATACGCTATTACAACAAGGTCCCGGAAAGTGTACAGGCTCTCTTTATTACCAAGTTTAAATGTTTTGTTAAGCTGAAACTGTATAAAAAGCGTTATTAAAATATAAATAAATACATGGTTGGTAATAAATTCTCAGAATGAGGTGGTCGCTTCCAAGCTGTTTCTAAAATAAATTTTGTAAAGTTTGTACAACCATTCATGTAAAATTTACATCTAAAAAGTCTCGCTGGGTTTCTTGCTGGTTCTTCCCAGGACAGAGGTTTTTTTTTTGAAGCACTGCTGTAAAGTAAAAAATGGCTTTTCAAAAAGAATTACTCATGTGATCTATATTGAATAAAAAACTATTCTATTCACACTCACGTACGCCTTTCTTCTCGTCATTTTATAGTTAATGGTATAGTCGGACTCCTACACCGCGGGCCATACGTGCCCGAGACAAGAATGGAACTTGTGATTACCATGCATCCATTACAGCCTATAAAAGTCCACTGCTGAACATAGGTATCCCTAATATGGGGGGATTTGCCATAGTTGCCACGCTTAGCAAGCTGGTAGGCAACCGCAGTTTACTATTTTGAGTAGTTATCAGGAAGGTGCTGCGCCGATCTCCTGTTTAATTTTCTCTCTGTCGCCTCTTACGACAGCCTCGGGACGATACGGGATAGTGGATTTTCTTACATCATCACTACAAGCTGAAGATTCGAAATATATATATTTACTAGGTGGATATAGTATATGTAAATATAATTTATTCACATATACCACATTCCAATAAAGAAAACAATGACCCAATCACGCAAAAAATGCATCCAAATTTAGGTTAGTAAATTAAGAATGTTGTTGATATAGTAGACTCGGCTGTAGATTTCTGGTAGTTTGAGAGATGGCACAGATGCCAAAAATGGACTATATTCTTACCTGACCATGTGCTCATCTCCCGGCGTGAGGGTCTTGGTATAGTGGAACTCGTATATGAGCTGGTTAAGCACCACGCAGCCTTTGCTGAAACCCATCAGAGACAACCGGCACTTGTCCAGTGACAACTCATTGCGCCACCATATTAGTTCCCTGTAAGAATTTATTAATACATTATTATTTTATTATATGTATGTATATCTATACAAGTCGAAAACTCATTAATGCGCGTATGCGCAACCACAGGTGCACTCTTTACTCCCCCACTCTCATAGTCAAGGGGGGGGGGGTTGGGGTATCCAACACAACCGGAGAGAGATTACGCGCAGGAACCTCTGCTTGAAAGTCTCTACTTTACGTGCTTTCCGAGGCACGGGGGTCAGACACCGCCAACTTCCTGACTCCGAGCAGCTACTGAGAATTTCTTAATGGAAAAACTCAATAACTGATTTTTTGACCCGACCCAGGTTTCGAACCCGGGACTTCATGAACAGCAGCATCTATTATTTGATAGACTGTTCTTCATGTGTCTGATACGAGTACTGGAGTCTACACGTCCAATAAGTCTTTCCTAGCCTCTACCACGTATGGCCACCACGTGGTGGCGGACTGCGCATGTCTTCGAAATATTTTGTTTAATATTCTCAGCCATGCAGGTTTCATGACTTTTTTTTCATCGCCGAAGATGTGGTAAATCAGCTTTTTCGGCTAAGTTCGTTTTTTTTACAAATAGAATCTTTTTCATTGAATATAGATTATAAATAATACTTATTATAAGTCTCTACTCTGGTGTTTAATTTACTACTGGTTCGAAAAATACTTCTGTCTTATGAAGAACAAGCAAGAAACATTTATACCATATACATAAATTACACAAAACAAATTAGAAATAGCTTGATAGCGATAACCTCATTCCCAGGGGTTATTATCATCTCTATAAAGTTATTTCCAAAGTACTTTCTGGATGTCAATTAATTGCTTTACACATTGTAAATATCCACTGCCCCGTATCATTCCGTGCGTGTCCTAAGAGGCGACAGAGGGAAACAAATCAGGAGATGGGCAGCAGCATCTTTCGAATAATGACTAAACTTAAAAAAAAAACTGAAGTTGTGAACCTGATTTTATGCTGTAACAGAAACGGTTATTGATTATATAAAAACCACAACATCCATTGGAACTAAACCTACTCACGGCTTGTGTTCGGCCGAGTTCGTGCCGTTTGAGCTGTCGGCTCCGTCAGCTCGCTGCGTTGAGTTCTGTAATATTTTTACAAGAATTTTCATAATTACTTTTTAAGACTTGAATTAAAAATAAGAGACAAAAATTATTATATTTAAATCTAAATATAAAATTATACACCACACACACACCAGCATTAAGCTGCTATTTTATGCTGGTATTCTTTGAGAGAGTGGTCCTTTCCCAGAGCCTACTTATTCGTGTCACAACCATAATATAGCTGCAATGTGGTTTTACATATTGTAATAGGTCTTTAACTATTAAATTGCAATTCTGCAGTACTGGCCATTTAAAATCATCTAAAATAATTGTCAAAATATTTTCTGTTTGCCTAAGAATTCTAATTTCAAATTAATTTTATTTTAAAAACATGGAACTCTTTATTCAAAATTTGTCATTTATTTATTGATTAGCGTTATGTTTTCATCGCATTTGAATCTTTTTCGTTATCATGGATACGTTAAAATTCGAGTAATTATGGCATATGTGTATCGTCGTGACAGCAACGCGGCACAAGCGGCACGCAACATCAACGACGTTTACGGAGCAAATACTAAATCCACCACCTACTATTGATTTGACCGCTTCCCTTCTAGAAATTTCGACCTGCAAAATGAACCCCGTGGTCGCCCGAAAACTTTAGTCGACAATGACAAATTAAAGACGATTGTGGAAGCTGATGATACTCAATCTATGGCTGAATAAGCAGCAGCTTTCGACGTTAGCGCCAAAACAATATTGGTCCAGTTGCGTTAAATTGGCAAGGTAAAATAGCTTGACACGAACTCAATGATCGCCAGCGCGAAGTACGCGTCGAGACGTGCCTTGCACTGCTCAACAGGCATACAAACAAAGGAATTTTGAACTGCATTGTTACCTGAGACGAAAAATGGATTCTGTTTGACACCTAAACAATGACCTAAACAAAAACTTACACCTAGAAAAGTGATGGTCTCTGTTTGGTGGTCTCGCGCCGGTGTAAATCATCACAGGTTCTTACTGTGAAGAACTAAACACAATGATGGGTGAGCTAGCACATATCCAACCAGCCTTGGTCAATCGCCTAACTAAATGTTATCCAGAATTTCGATAAATTTTAGGCGGGAAAAAATTCAATAGTACAAAATTCCTTTGAAGAATTTGTTAATGAACTGAATGTGTAAACTGTCACTGCTTTGGCAAAGATGCATCGATTGCATTGGTGATTACATTGATTAATAGAAATAAAAAATATAGAAAAAAAATATACGTTTTCTTATTTCATAAAAAACGGCACTTTCATAGAGACCTAATACTATCTCTGATATTAGTTGAATTTAGGTGATTTTTTTTTGATACTTGTTCAAAAACAACCTTTTTTCCATGAAGAAAGGATCTCGAGTGGCAGTCTCGTAATGGTAAGCACTACCTCGAGACGATATGAGAATCCATGCAGGAAGTCAATGGATCGCTCGAATGGAGGGCTCGGCACTTTAGGGAAGGCCTTGTTAATTGTTGTATAATGACGATGATGAATTTCGCAGCCAGAAAATTTGGCGAGGATCTTTTTATAAGATAAGGCTGACAAACGAACACGCAGTCCATTTGAAGGTGAGTGGTTGCTGTGGCCCATAGATATCTACATCTATCCTTTATTAGGAATCAAAATGCAGATGAGTTGTCACCCATGAGGACTAAGATGGAATGGACCACACTTATCATACGAAACACAACAGCACTGAGCTGTATTTTATTATATTGTATTCTGTGAGAGCGTGGTCCTTCCCCGGTCGAGCCGACCCATTCGTGCTACAACTATACACGTAATATAGCTGCAGCGTAGCACTACCACGTATACGTATACGTGTAGGAAAACTGTATTTCTGATAAATTAAATATATTTGGAGGACAAAGACCGCCGATACGCACTGGAGATACATAGCAGACTCCCCCTGTCCTAACAACCTCTTAACAATAAAAGGCACGGAAAAAGAGGGATAATACCATACACCGTATGCCGTGTGGCTTAAGAAAATCCCCTGCCCTACATCGGTGACAGAGGGAAACTGAAACACGAGATGGGCAGCAGCATTTTCCTGTTAACAACTACAAAATAATAGAAAAACTGCAGTTGCCAACCCGCCTGCCAAGCGTGGCAGCTATAGCAATATCCCCACTACGACAATGGGATGTATCGACATTGAACTTTCACAGTATTTTAATAACCAAAACTTTTAATTTGAAGTTGTGTACATATTTTCTAAAGATTCTAATATATTTTGTAATATAAATATTTCTTTATAATATAGATACAAATAAATAAAATGGAAGTGTCTGTTTGTAATGTCAAAATAACAGCTTTTCACTAAATGCATATGAAAGTATGTACGGTAGTTATAACAAAAAACATTTTTAAATTTTTGCCTGTCTGTCTCGCTGTTTGTTCCGGTTTATCTCCGAAATGGCTGAACCGATTTTAACAGGACTTTCAGTGACAGATAGCAGGTGTTACAAGGAGTAACTTAGACTACTTTTATTTTAGACTAGCTGATACCCACGATTTCGTGCGTGTGCTTGATATATTACCAAAGTTTTCGTATGTGTGAAAGAAAAAACATCAAAAACACAAAATTTCTTTGTAATCAATGTTAATTGTTGCTTGTTCGTTTATAGCTAAAATGTATAAATTATCTGGGTTAGTGACGCGAGAGCAAGCGACGTACAGTTGTTTCTTAAAACTTTAATAACTTTATATTAAATGAAGATATCACAATATTTTTTTTAGATACAGGCCAAGAAGCGTCTTAGAAATAAAACTTAGATAACCTAATTCAAATATATCCAGTAGTTTTTCCGTGATGCGCGCACAACTGCAAACCGCTATAATTTTATCTATATAGAAAAAGAAATAGGGTGCCGCGCAAATAAAATTAAAACCCATCAAATCCAATCGTAATAAATTCCACGCGGACGTAGTCGCGGGTAACAGCTAGTTTTATGACATAAAGGAAGGCTATAGGCTTAATGCAGGCATTTAAATTAAAACACACTTACATGCAAGTCTTCGATATCAATCTCCTCGGGCAATAAAGCGGCATTGGCCGCTTCCACCAACTCCGATATGGGGAGGGATTTGAGTCTACTGCTCACACTTTGAAGCAACCTACACAAAAAAATTCTTAATAAATATCATGGAATAATTCACGGCACTTCCTCACTATGACTTTTTTAACAATTATAAACCACTGTTTGACTGCTATCCCATCTGATTGAACACAAGCCTATTCACTCTTTTAAATAAACCTAGTTTTTACAGATTTTATCGCATATATTAAATTATTTTATATTCCCGACCTTTCGAGCACTTTACAGAACCCATGGTCACGGGGGGGGGGGGGGGACTGAGGTGTTTGACGTCCCAATGTCATAGTTAACCACGGCTACCTATCCACATTGTAAGCAGATGAAAGACAGATGCTGGCAAGTATTCAACATTTGTGTACCACGAGTCTTTGATCTAATAATACACTCAAGTATTTTACTTCTACTTTATGCATAGTAGGACAATAGCAATTTTGTCTATCTATTGCGTTCTTGGTTGTCATGTTACACAGATCATTTAAATATATTAAGAAATGTGTGGGTCCAAGAACACTTCCCTGAGGGACACCACACACCGAAAGACACGTTTGTGCTCTCACTGATATACTCTCCCAATTTGACCATCTGCTTCCTATCCGTCAAATAGTCACTAAACAGTCGAAGTGGGGCCCCTCTAATACCGATTCGTTCCAATTTGTGTATAAGCATAGGAAGAGAAACAGTATCAAACGCCTTTTGCAAATCTAAGAATGCTGTCATACATTTATTATGGTTGTCCACTTCTTTAACTATCAGCGAACTTAGTGCACAAACCACGTCTTCGGTTGATGTTCCTTGTCTAAATCTAAACCGAAAAGTAGATAGTATATCATATCTGTTTAAGTACGCGATTAGTCGAGAGTTTAATAGTTTTTCGAGTATTTCGGAGATTGCTGGTAGTACAGATATAGGCATTATGTTGCTCACATCGTCTTTATCGTCAGCCTTGTAAATAGGGGTGATAATAGATTGCTTTAAGGGAGCAGGAAATATTCCTTTTTCAAAGCAAAGATTCGCGAGATGAGTAACGATAGGAATGATTTCAGTTTTCGCATATTTTAGAAAAGTAGTTGGGATATTATCCCATCCCGGGGCACTTGCCAACTAAAGGTTCATCAAGATACTATTAACTTCATCGTGATTAGCATGTATAAGACGAAGGAATTTAGCTGACAAAGTGATTAATTACGGAATTTACAGAGGCACTCATAGTTCTCATTAATACGAAGTAACGCTTTATTCAAGTTATTAGTTTTATTAGTATATGTGATATTTTTTATATTTTTCCACAACTATTTGTTGTTTTTTACTGATTTAGCTAGTAATTCTCTCTCATAATTCCTTATTAATTACTTAAGGAGGTTGTTACAATAGTTCCTATGTCGTCGGTAAGTTACTAAGTTTATATCATTAGTAGGGTCACTTCGTGCTTTTTCTTGTAACTTATTACGGTTTCATAAGATGCATATATCCACGGTTTCAAAATACGACAGTTTTTAGGTATATTTGTTACTATCGTGTGTTTTGTCAGGGAGTCTGTTATTTAATGAATTAATTTTTGGATTACCAACATAGGATCATCACATAATAATAACTCTTCTGTGTTTTTAGTTTTAAGGTAACTCACGTTCGCATATGCATCCCAAATAATTTGCAACCAACAAAATAGTTTTAGGTGCATCAATGGGCTTTATTTAAAGAAAGAAGTAAAAAAGATATGTACTGGACACACAAGAAATATAGCATGTTTTCGGCATCAGTTGAAACTACTTAACTATTCTTGCCAGTAGTACTATGCGATTCAAATTAGAATAGGACTGACTTGGCGCCATATTGTAACATAGCTGTCAATTGAAACCAGTTAGGTAGGGTGAGCAAAACAGAAATTTTTGAAATTACATATATTTACAAATAAATACAAAATAACCATGAACGAAAACTTATTAATCCGAATCTAGCATTACAATTTCGCCCATCTCTGTATCACTGTGTGATCATTATCATCACTGCTGCTTTCCCTTATAAAAATAGAACATGGATTTATGTAGGTATTTAAAATATTCCACCAACTAGTAGCAATATTTTAAATTAATTTATAAAAATAAATATGAGTTTAATAGATTTGGTAATACTAAGACTCAGTTAAATAAAGCGGGGAGGGGGGGGGGGGGGAGGGGGGGACGTTATTAATACGCAAATTATTTTTTTGCACGTACTTTTCAAATGATAGTTGACGGATCGCGGTCATTCGAGGTCATTGACGTTTCTATTCCTATTTGAATTTTTATATTTTGATTATGACAAAGGTGCACATTACCTTTCGAAGTGAAGGAGTGCGCTGTGTGTGGGTGTGTGATCCGGTACACCAGCGTTGTTGCTAGGAACGAAGTTGTCGTAGCAGCTGAAGCTTTTGTATTCTATCCTGCGAAAGTTTAATTCATTCTTTAGCTAATTATTATTTATTATTAAAGATTTTTTTTATTACTGACATATTTTGTTGTCATAAGTAATTTCTACAAGATCTGTAATTAAGTAGTACCGTGTAGTGACGGTGTTAGAATATCCGCTACCCATATCATCTGTCCCAAGGAGGTGTCGGATTTATCGTCCACAAGTCTCTCGTTAACAACGTTGTAAAGATTGAGAGTGTGTCGACGAGGGTTGCGTACCTTATACTCAGAATCACCAAACGGTATTCGCTGAAGGTCATACAGGTTTACGCACCAACCTCGGCACACCCCGATCAGGAGGTGGAGGAAATGTATGAGGATATCTCTAGAGCCATGCATTCCTCCAAAACCCAATATACGGTGTTAATGGGAGACTTCAATGCAAAACTAGACACAAGAGAGAACGCTGAAAGTAGGGAAATTTGGAATAGGGCAACGGAACCCAAGGGGCCAGCAGTTGGCTGACTTCATGGAGAAAGAGGGACTCTTTATGATGAACTCTTTCTTCCAGAAGCGGCCCCACAGGAAGTGGACCTGGTCGAGCCCCGACGGTTCGACAAAAAATGAGATTGACTTCATTATGACGACTAGACGACAACTGTTCAGTGATGTCTCAGTGATCGCGAGGATGAAAACCGGCAGCGATCACCGAATGGTTAGAGGCACACTGAACCTAAACGTTAAGTTGGAGAGGTCTCGTCTAATGAAGTCAACGCTCCGTCCCCCTCGTGCTCTAATCCAAAGTCCCGAAACCTTTCAGCTCGAGTTACAAAACCGTTTTCAGTGCCTAGAAGACTGCAATGACGTGGACGATTTGAATGACAAGCTCGTGGAAACTGTCCATGCGGTCGGAGCTAAGTTCTGCAAGACCCGCCGCAGAAGAACACAAAAACTCTCCGATCACACTCTTAATCTCATGGCTGTTAGACGGGAGATGAAGCTACATTCTTCAACAGATTTAACAGCATACAGGCAACTGAACAGACAGATCTCCAAATGCATGCGGCGGGACTTACGCAAATTCAATACAGCTCGTATTGAAGAAGCGATCGAGCGGAACCAAGGCTCCAAAGTCTTTGCCAGAGATCTGTCTGCCAGAAAGCGCCAACTGTCAAAGCTGAAGACAGAATGTGGCAGCATCGTTTCTGGGGCACCTGAGATTTTGAGTGAGATTGAGAGGTTCTATGGGCAGCTGTACACGTCATCGTTGGAGCCGCACGCAAGTGTGAGTAACGATCCAAGAGCGAGTCTTATCCGACATTATTCCGATGATATCCCGGACGTCAGTCTGAGCGAGATTAGAATGGCTCTCCAGCACCTTAAAAACGGCAAGGCCCCAGGCGAGGATGGAATTACAGCGGAGCTTCTGAAAGCGGGTGGAAAACCGGTAGTTGAAGTCCTTCAGAAGCTCTTTAATTCCGTCCTCCATGGTGGCATTACACCGGAGGCGTGGAGCAGAAGTACGGTGGTCTTGTTCTTCAAGAAAGGCGACAACGCTCTCTTGAAGAACTACAGACCGATTTCCCTTCTGAGCCGCGTCTACGTGCTGTTTTCGAGAGTCATTACGAATCGTCTCGCGCGCAGACTTGACGACTTCCAGCCTCCCGAACAAGCCGGTTTCCAAAAAGGCTTTAGCACCATAGACCACATACATACCCTTCGGCAAATTGTACAGAAGTCCGAGGAGTACAATTTGCCACTATGTCTGGCGTATGTGGACTATGAGAAAGCCTTTGATTCCGTCGAAATTTGGGCGGTGCTGCAGTCCCTTCAGCGATGCCAAGTTGACTGTCGGTATATCGAAGTGTTGAAGTGCTTGTACAGTAGGGCTACGATGGCTGTCCGAGTACAGAACCAGAGTACGAAACCTATCCAATTGCAGAGAGGTGTAAGACAGGGTGACGTCATATCCCCGAAACTCTTTACCACTGCATTGGAAGATGTTTTCAAGCTTCTGGACTGGAAAGGATACGGTATCAACATCAATGGCGAGTACATCACTCACCTTCGATTTGCCGACGATATAGTCCTTATGGCAGAATCGCTGGAGGACCTAAGCACTATGCTCAATGACCTCAATAGTGTTTCCCAACGGATAGGTCTTAAGATGAACATGGACAAAACAAAGATCATGTTTAATGTCCATGTCACACCTATGCCGGTAGTTATTGGGAACACTAAGCTCGAAGTTGTTGACGAGTATGTTTACCTGGGACAAATAGTCCGACTAGGTAAGTCCAACTTCGACCGAGAGGTCAATCGACGGATTCAACTCGGTTGGGCAGCGTTCGGGAAATTACGGCACATCTTCTCGTCAGGTATACCTCAAAACTTGAAAACGAGACTGTACACCCAGTGCGTGTTGCCAGTGATGACATACGGAACTGAGACGTGGTCCTTCACTGCTGGCCGGATGAGGAAGCTCAAGGTCGCTCAGCGAGCTATGGAGAGGGCTATGCTCGGAGTTTCTCTGCGTGATAAACTCAGAAATGAGGATATCCGCAGTAGAACTAGAGTGACCGACATAGCCCAACGGATTAGTAAGCTGAAGTGGCAATGGGCCGGCCATATAGCTCGAAGAACCGACAACCGATGGGGAAGAAAGGTTCTCGAGTGGCAGCCTCGTACCGGCAGGCGAAGTGTAGGGCGTCCCCCCACTAGATGGAGTGACGACCTGGTAAAATATGCAGGAAGTCGATGGATGCAGGTGGCTCAGGACCGTGCTTTGTGGCATTCTTTGGGGGAGGCCTATGTTCAGCAGTGGACTTCTGAAGGGCTGTAATGATGATGATGATGATATCATCCCGTAGGTGTCGTAAGAGGTGACAGAGGGAAACAAATCACGAGCTAGGCAGCCGCGTATTCCCAATAACGTCTGAAATTAAAAAAAAAAACTAATGTTGCTAACCCGCCTGCCAAACTACACCTAGCGGCGCATAACTGAAGACTTATATTCTCTGAATTCAAATGTGCCCAAAATTCGATTTTATTTTAACTACACAAACTTCATTTGATTAAGAACTCGGTTCTGAAAGAAGTAGGCCAGGTGATAGTTTTTTAAACAACATTTATGTGTGACAGGTTTAAAGGGTAGAAATAACTATGTTCTAATTATTGGTTAAAACAGAGCAAGGAATAGTCTAGTCCCTTACTGATTCGCATTGCAAAGCCATCGGAAGTTGGATACAACGTAGGTAGGTAATTATATACATCCTTATAATACTCCGTGCCAAGCCGAGGAGTTTAGCGCTCGCTGTAATTTCGCAGTACGCGAGCAACCCGAGTTCGATCCCCACGGGAACCAATAAATTTGTTAATTCCAATTTTAAGTGCTGATTTACCACGCGCACGAATCGAAAACGTCGTGAGGAAACCCGCATGTTTGAGAATTAAAAAAATAAAACCCTCTCAGAAGTGAGAGGAGACCTATGCCCCAGGAGTGGGACATATATAGGCTGTTAACTTTTAAACTCACCTAGACGGTCTCACAACCAGTATATGTTTCGTTGGGAAATTAAGGCCGAGCATCCGCGCCGTGTTCTCTAGATTATATTTCAAGTAGTTTCGGTAGTCCCGGTGTGCCTGCATTACTTCAGGATAGTCCTGCGAACAGGTTAGGTGTTATTTTATATGATAGATTTAATATCCAACGTCAAAGCACAGAAGTTATAATCCATAATTTATAACATGCAGCGCATGTTGTTTGAGTAAGAGAAATGGAGACAATTGTTTATGTATACTTTGAAATAATCAACACTACATTTACCAACTACATTTGTTTAATTTTTACCCCATTTGTATAATTCACTTCCTATTGCAATGTCGTTTTTTTTTTAAATAGAAGTTTAAAATTTTTAAACAAACACATAGTCCAACTGAAGGTAAGTGAATGCTGTGGCCTATTGACATCAACATCTATCTTTGATTAAGAATCAAAATGCAGATACGTTGTCACCCCCGAGGACTCGATGGACTGCCTTGTTTTCAGTAAAACGGGTGTGCAGTTCGCTACACTCAATTTCACTCTGATTTTCTGTGAGAGCGTGGTTCTAACCCGGTGGAGCCGGCCTATTCATGCTACAATCATTATAATGGCTTAGCTTTCCATTGACTCCCGTCGAGTTCTTTCTTGTTTTTCATAAAATGGAATTATATTTACATTATAAATGCAAACATGAAAAAATATAGATATTTTAGAAATCGATTTTTTGGGAATCGATACATCAGCTTACAATTCGAATATATTTAAAAAATCGATCTTTTTCGGTAAGAACCGACATCCCTACTGACAATAACAATAAAAAAATGGCGTCAGTTTTATTGTAGGATTAGACATAAACAATGCAAGAATAATTGATTTTCAATAACTTTTTTCTCAAAAATTACGCGCTTCCGCATGTTGTAACTTTGTGTGTGTGCTTATAATAGTGTAACTTTTCTGTAAAAATACGTATCAAACCCCAACTCGATGAGAGTCAATGGAAAGTCGTACCATTATAATAGCTGCAAAGTGGCTCTACCACTTACAAAACACACATTTTCCTCGGTTCATTTTTTGATTCAGAGTCAGCAAGTTCACTTGCCTACCGTGTCTTTGCCAACATTTAAATCTTACGCAGCAACTTCACACTACTGCCGCGATGCTGCCAACAATATGCTGTTGTATTCTATTACAGTACCTGAATATCGCCGCCGAAGAAGACAAGTGCGCCCTGCTTCGGAGCGGGCCGCGTCGCGGGGCAGAACACCACGTCATTGACGCGCCCCTCCAAGCCAACAACGCGCCGCAGCCGTAGCGGCCGCATTTTGAAACCCCTTACGTCACCCGCATCGCTGCTGTTAAATATCAGAATACTTAATAAGTAGTTCTTCACTGCTGGCCGTATGAGGAAGCTCAAAGTCGCACATCGAGCTATGGAAAGGGCAATGCTCGGCGTTCCTCTGCGTGATAGACTTAAAAATGAGGATATCCGCAGTAGAACTAGAGTAACCGTCATATCCCATAGAATTAGTATGCTGAAGTGGCAATGGGCCGGCCATATAGCTCGAAGAACCGACAACCGATGGGGAAGAAAGGTTCTTGAGTGGCAGCCTCGTACGGCTTTATCGGGGCAACCCGGTAGGCCGCTCAGGGCGCCGGGTCTTATGGGGCGTCATACGTGGCGGCTTAACTTCATCACTTAATTAAATTTTAATAGCTATCTCTATCAATCTAAAGAAAAAATTAATTCAGCGTACCTAGGTATTAATTTTTACGAACTTATCTCGTCAGAGTGAGTATAAGTATTCACATTCAACGTATCATTTTGTCACTTGTGTTGTGTGTATCTCTCACTTACTAATGTAGAACGAGAGAGACGCACTGAGCAACATGCGAGAAATGGCAACTCGGATTAGGTCTTCTGTATGAATCTGTTTTTTTGGCTTTCTACATAATGTTAGGTTTATATAAGCAAATAAAAAAAAAGTCATTCGGCAACCGAAATGGAAGTAGATTTCTTATTAGATCGCTTCCAAGCAGTTTCTAAAATAAATTTTGTAATTAGTTCGTAATCATTTATATTGTAAAATTTATTTAAAAAAAAGTCCCGCTGGGTTTCTTGCTGGTTCTTCCCAGGACAGAGGGTTTTTTTCGAACCAGTGGTAAAGTAAAAAATGACTTTCAATAAGAATTACACATGTAATGTATATTGAATAAAAAATATTCTATTCTATTCTATTCTATTCTATTATTTATTTTCAATTTAAAAAGTTAGTTAAAATCTTAAACTTTTTGAACGTTTTTCACGAACTTTAAGGTCAAAAATCTATACAAAGAATTTGTCAAAACAGCAAGTAATGAAACAATAAGTGCTAAAATTAAAAAAAAATTACAACCGACTTCAATATAAAACGTTGAGGATAACTCAAAAACTTATTGGTCAGAACTTGATCAAAATTATATGGGACAACATGACAAGCACCAGCTTTCAAATAAAAAAAGAATCACTGAAATTGGTTCACCTAGAAAAAAACCTTCTTTTTGAAATCGGTAGAAAATTGAAGCTAGTTAGATGAGCTTTAAAATAACTTCAATGATAATCCACTATAAATTTCTGGGGTAAATCAATAGAATATTTTTTTCTCAAATATATCAAATTTAAAATAACTACAACTTTCAAACTAATCAACCAATCAAAGTTATTAAATTATTGGACAAAGTGTCGAAATGGCAAGTTAAATAACAAAAATATAATAAAGTTGATTTCATGAGCTTTAACAGAAATAATAATAATAATTAATAACAATTGTTTTATTGTTTCTCAATACATTGTCATGCATTACATAAATTGAGGTAGCTCCAGTAAGTTATAAAATACTTGTGTTGGAACTACCTCGTTGCTTCCCTTAAAGCTACCTTACAGTATTGAGACCAATCCATACAAAATAAAATTCAGAATTAAAAAAGAGATAGTGGACAGCTAAAAAGTATGAGTATGTGTGTATGTGTGTGTGTGTGTGTGTGTGTGTGTGTGTGTGTGTGTGTGTGTGTGTGTGTGTGTGTGTGTGTGTGTGTGTGTGTGTGTGCGTGCGTGTGTGCGTGCGTGCGTGCGTGCGTGCGTGTGTGTGTGCATGCGTTTTACTTAGCTGGTACTGATTACGATAAGCTCAGTTTCCTTATATGTAAGAGCTTTTAGCCACTCTATTAAGGCTTGTTTACATGTACGGAGCAACATAGGGTATATATTTAGGACCCTAGGGGAGTATGCCACAACATCTTTGCGTCTTCTATCCAGGTTAGCTGGAGTATATGAGAGTGTCTTATGCAGGTGCAAGGTTATGTTTAAGAGGTATAGTTTTCTGAAAAAATGAGCTATCGCTTTTTGTTCGAAATGTTATTTGAAGATGAATTGACAAACCCTTTTTTTAATTTGTCAAACTAATCACATAACTTTTAAATCAATCTGGCTGATGTCGGAACTGATTTGGCTGATCTTTGAACTTGACCTAGAATTTTACCCAAAAATATGTGTTAAGTTTCATTTGAATTTGTTCAGTAGTTTTTGTGTGGGAGAGTAACAAACATCCATCCATACATCCTAACACACCTTACAAACTTTCACGTTTAAAACATTAGTGGGATATAAAAGAGCGCAAAGTAATCAGCCTAGGGCGCTTAGGTGGTTAGGACCGGCCCTGCCTGCAGTTACCCTGGTGTTGCAGTTGTTCGTAGGCGGCGGTCGACACTTACCATCAGGTGCTCGTTTGTTTTGCTCGTTCGTTCTTCTTCCAAAAAAAAATAAGTCTTTCTCACTCTTTGCCTCATAATGGGAAATATAGCTTGGCAGGTTTGAAAGGCGAAATGGCAACCACAGTTTTTTTATAGTATTGAGTTGTTATCAATGCTGCTGCCCATATCTTGTTTCATTTCCCTCTGTTGCCTCTAGTGTTGCCCAAAATCGGTCTTGGTCTTGCAGTCTTGGTCTTGTTCTTGCATTTTGCAAGACCAAGACCAAGAACAAGACCGCCTCTTTTTAGCAAGACCAAGACCAAGACTGACCGTGCAAGATTTGCGCAAGAACAAGACTAAGCTTGCGAGACTCTTGCGTCTTGCAGCTAGGGCTAAGTGTCGTTTCAGGGAGTATAGGAGTTCGGGTATACGCTTAGGGACTCTATGAGACGCAAAAAAATATAATGAAAAAAAAATTGGAAAATTGGACTTTGCGCATTACGAACAATACCATAAATATACATAGCGAATGAAAATATCCATTAAAAGAAAAAAGAGTGCATCCCTAGTTTTGGCCATCGGCACTTTGATAGTGCGCGACGTCTTGTTGTCGGCGTCATCAAAGGTCGGATACTGACCTGTCAAAGAAATTGTGCAGCTATACACGTGCCGGCGGCTACTATTGATATCGCATACAATCGTCGCCGCTGCGCCACACGCACTACATTTGACACTGTTTGATTGCCGCCACAGAGTACATGTTTCAAAGAATAAAATATGTTTCCGGGTGCTCAGAATGGACACGAATACATTATCCTGATCTCGCAAGAAATATTGTAATTAGATAATAGGTAGGTATCATAATAATTTATTCTAGTAACTAATTATTATAAAATTAACTATATGGATTTATAATAATTACTTACTATTATTGTTATTATTATTACCTAAAAGATAAACATGTTCAGTAAGTTCACTGCAAATCTCGACTTTTGCAAGTGTGTGTTTTTAAAACACAAAGTGCTCGAATATGTCGTCACACATTTGATAAATATGGTTGACACCATAGCACTTTTAAAACACTTGAAATGTGTAAAAATGGATCTGGATTTTGTCTTCAAGGCTTAGTTATTAAGGAGTTGGAGGGGTACCCAGGTAAATCCAGAGCCTTCATCTTGGAAGACATTTTAGACTGTTGGAGGACGCATGAGACAAAATATCCGATTTTATTGAAGATGGCCCGTGATTTTCTTTTAATACCTGCAACTTCAGTACCTGCTGAGAGATTATTTTCTAAAGCATCATTAGTAATTAGAAAACATAGAAATAGGTTAAGTGATGAGTCAGCCAGATGGTTACTTTGTATTATTGCTTTGTCAAAAGAATAAATATAAAGTAACAGTAATGTCAAAGCTGTTGTGCTGTGAAGTAATTTAATTTGCATCGTATTTTATTTTTTATTTAAATAAATTGTATATTGTATAACTCTTTTATTCCATTTCATATATGGTGAGGGTCCATCAATCTCTTTCTAGAGAGATAATGTTATTTAAAATACAGTGTAGTTATTGCCATTAATTTGTTTTTATATGTATGTTTAACCATGGTTTAGCACATGTAAGCTTATTAAATGTAAACGTTTATTAAGAAACTGACGCCCGTGGCCGTGGGACACTCAGTTGGTTGGAGCATGGGCACGGATCGCTTAGGTCGTGGGTTCAACCCCACCCGGTGTCAGTTGATTTTTCGAATTTCTCATTAAATGTTTAGACATCTATACATTATATCTATACATATAATAAAACTGTAAATAGCAGATGTCTGTACATTTTATATTTTTGTAATAAAAGTGATTGAGGGGTACTAAAAATAAGTAATTAAATACATTTCTACCATTTTTAGAATTTTCTGTCTGTCTGTCTGTCTGTTTGTTTGTTAACGTATCACGTATAAAGTACTAATTTATATCATAAGAATTGTTAAGGAAATTATAAAGTGTATCTTCGGGTTACATTTAGTCTTTATTTCATTAAAATTAGTTCATTCCATCAAAAGTTATGATAAATATTCTGAAGTATGGGTAGGGAAGTATAGGTACGAATTTGCTCAACGGTGGCTTTGTTTGAGTCATCAAGTGCATTTTAAACTAATATCATATCATAAATCATAGTTAAATTATGTAAAATAATGATATAATTATGTATATCTAAAACGCAGTAAACAAAAGTAATAAAGAACGTATTAAATATATTATACAAAAATATATTAACCTTATTAACTAAATCTTAAGCACAATAGTTAACCCATTTCTTCGATAGATGGTGGTGTGGCATAAATGTGATACAAGAAGGCAGGTTAAAATTTATTCCTGTAGTTGAGTTTCATATTTGCTTCTAACCTTTATATTAATGACACGCTGCCCTACTGCGTGTTGACAATCTCATTTATTTTTTATTTTTTTACCGCCGAGTACTCTATGTGGTAAATCAAATTTTAAGAGCTATTAACAATTTCATTTTTCGGCGAGGATCAAACTTTCTTTTTTGCTTACTATGCAGGCACTGATTTATAAGTTCTTTTATGTTTTTTATTGTA